GGAACGGGTACCGTGCACGGCCCTGGAGCAGCCACTACTGCAGAAGAGTGCAGGCATCCCTGCCACGTCCCCTTAACCCCGTGGTTATGGTGTCAGCGTGCCCAGCAAGGCAGGCGTTGGGGTTGCTGGGTTATGGAGGTGACCTGTAGGAAGGGCAAAGAAGGGGTAACCCCACCTGGGGCTCATTCCAGGAACCCTACCCCAAGGGGGTGATCCCGCTGTCCGTCATCGAGATGGCTCGCTCCACCAAGGACAACAAGTTCCAGGTCTTCACCAGCCATCGGATCTTCGTCTTCCGTGCTGAGAATGAGGGTAAGCAGAAACCTGGTCCCCAAGGAACCATCCCTGCCTCCCTCCTCCAGCCAGAGCATCATGAGGGCACATTTCACCCCATACCCAAAACATCCAGCTGCCACAAGCAGGGGCACCACTCCCCTGCTGTGCGTGCCGGGTGCTCTGCTCTGTGCCAGAGCAGCTGGGAAGGGCTCACACCCGTTCCCTCATGCCTGGCCCCCAGCCCAGAGGAACGAATGGTGTTCCACGCTGCAGAAGAAGGTGACAGACCAGCGCCTGGTGGGCTCCCGGCCCCGGCCTGCCAACACCGCTCACTGCCAGAAGTCAGGCACCCTGGAGCTGAAGGGCCAGAAGTCCAAGGTGTTTGCAGCCCTGAGCCTGCCGGAGATGTGGCTGTACAAGAGCGAGCAGGTTTGTGGCCGGAGCAGACACTTCACTGGCACAGAGGGCTGCGCTGGTGTTGGAGAGGATGAGAGCGATGGAGGGATGGAGGGAGCTCAGACAGGGCGGGTGCCAAAGGGAGAGTGGAGAGGAAAAGGACAGGCAGGAGAAGGAGAACGGCAGAGGAAGAAGCTGGAGATCCTGCACAGGGCAGCAGTAGTGGGAGTCTGGTCTTGGAGATGCAGGGGGTACCAGGAGTGAACCCCCCTCCCAATCTCCTCACTGTCACCAAGTCATCTTCACCTCTACCGGACACTTAGGTCTTAGTCACACCGAGGCATCCCAATCCATCACAGGATGGGTGGATCAATCCCCACAACATCACCAGCCAACATACCTGCTGCAAGGTGGGCTTGCCCCACGGGAGGCAGCAGGTCTCTGCCGGCCCCTCACAGTCTGCCTGCGGCTCACAGAAATCCCCACCCCCCGAGTTTTCTCAGCACCCTTTGGGTTTTTTTTCCAGTCACCTCATTTCCAGTTTGCCTGGTGTGCACTAAGCAGCATCAAGTCTCTGGGGGTTTTGGTCAGGTTGATACTCGCTTTATGAACGTGCCGGACTCAGTGTGGAACTTAAATATCCAAAACAGAGGGATTTGAATGGCTGGGTTTCGGGGGCTGTGGGCAGAACTTGCCTTTCGTTTTAAGGCATAACATAACTGGCTGAATGGTTTATGTCAGCCCACGGGGGACGGCTGAGAGGTGTGGCAGGGTACCAGGTCTGACTGGTCCCAGCAGAGCAGTGATGGGAGGGGGGGTACCAGGTGCAGCTCCCGGGCTCCAGCCCCAGCAGCACAGGCATGTCCTCAGCGATGTGTCCACTGCGGTCATGGTGCCGCAGAGCCAACCCCAGTGTCACTCTGAATTGCAGTTCTTTAAAATGGGCATTGGCATCTGCTTGATCGAGATGCGCGGCTCCACCATCCGCGAAGCCAAGAACCGCAGCTTCGAGCTCATCACCCCTTTCAAAATATTCAGGTACCCCGGGGGGTCGAGGTGGGACGAGGTGGAGGGAGCAGCCGGGCGCTGGACCCAGGTGCTGGGAGCTCCAGGCCCCTGAGCTGCGGCTGCGCTGGTGCTCGTAGCTTCGTGGCGGAGTCGGAGCGGGAGAAGCGGGAGTGGATGGAGGCCCTGCAGGAGGCCATAGCCGAGACGCTCTATGACTACGAGGTGGCAGAGAAGATCTGGTCCAACAAAGCCAACAAATACTGTGCAGACTGCTGGGCTCAGAGTCCTGACTGGGCGTCCATCAACTTGTGTGTGATCATCTGCAAGCAGTGCGCAGGCCAGTACATCTCCCCGGGGGGCAAATGGGGCTCCCGGAGAGTGTGGGCTGGGTCTGCCTGGGCAGGCAGGGTGCTGGCTGGGGCGCGGGTGCCACCCGGGTACCGGTTCCTCAGCAGGATCAAGGGGTGCTCACTCGTCCGCTCTCCACAGGGCAGCACCGCAGCCTGGGCTCCAACATCTCCAAGGTGCAAAGTCTGAAGCTCGACACCAGCGTCTGGTCCAACGAAATTGTACAGGTAGTAGCACTCGGGGCAGGG